AAGTATGATGCCACATGGCCACTACGGTAGCCAATGCTTTGAATAAACCATCCAATATCAGATAAGAAAAAGTGTCCATCCGAACCCGACAAACCGACAATATTTCCCCTTAGAGAACGGCGGAAGTATATCTAGTATCTAGAAACGCACCAACGACCAGCTCTCTAGAATTGTTGATCAAAAGAGCCCAGCGTTCCCAACCGTACGTACTACGACTCGTAGATACGTGAACGTAGCAGTCACGTGAGCCGTTGAAACGTAGGAGGAGTGTGAGCCGTAACGTACGTAGGAGCCAGCTCCCATTACGGACCGTAATACGTCTTAGAGAGACAATATTTCCTAGTAATATAAGGTCTTATTAGATAGCTATAAGGACGCGTTAAAAAGGTGTTTAAAGTTATATTTTTAGAGTAATAATTAGGTAAAAACTTTGTAGTTTGTATAATAATTAAGGAGCTAGTAAAAAAGAGGATTAAGGCATAAAATCTTATAATTTTAGTTAAGAATTATAATTACTTATAAACTTACTTATTATAAGCTAGATATCTTAGTTTTTTTAGTGTAGCAGGTGTACAGCCTTATTTTAAGAATTCTTTTAAGCTAGCTTTTTCTACTAAACTAGAGTTACTTATTACACTAGTTCTTATTAACTTACCTAATTAAAGTTCTTATTATTAGAGTCCTTAGTCTTTTTTTATAATAGCATGCTATTTAATAGTCTTTTAGCCTTTATAAAAAAGTACCTAGACAACTTTACTTTTAATAATAAAGTATTATTTACTATTAAGTAAAATAATGTTTAGATAAGAAATAAAAAGTTAAGGCTAAAAAAGCTTAAATACTAGGTAAAGCATAAAAGCTAATTATATAGTAATTATTAGTTATTCTAGATATAGCTTTATAAAGCTAATTTAGTGTATAACAACAAAAAAGACGCCTCTAGGATAAAGTTATAGCTCTACAGAAGGTGCTACACTAAAGGCAATTATAAAAAGGTAAAAAAAGTTAATAGTTACACTTATATTATCTACTACCTTAAGAAAAAGCACTAGATAGACATTAGTAGAAAAAGTAAAAGCGCTTTTTTACTTAATAAGCTAAAAAAATTTTTAAGTCTATTTAAAGCAGCTTATAAAGTTACAGGCTTATTATATATTATCTTTTATAGTGTTTAGTAGAAAGAAGCTTTATAAGTAGTAGTTATTAACTAAGTAATACTTTATAATATTTTTTTTTATACAGCATTATTAGCAAAACTTTAGAGCATTATTACTTAAAATAAAGCTAATCTTCTTACTACTCTTTTAGTGTCTAACACTACATATTTGTCTTACATATAGCAGGGATATACATAGCAGAAGCAGGAGATTTAAATAATGCTAAAAATAGCTTAAAGTAAAATTATATTAAGTGTTAATATATAGACTTCTCTAAACTACCTCTTCTTTCTAGGTATTATATTACACTTTATTAGTAGGTATACTTTAGCTTATTAGTTTAGTGTCTTAGCATTCTTTATTAAACTAAACACTAACTAATAATACTGCGTAGATGTTAACTACTAACACTATAACATTCTAATTAGCTTTTACAACCTATATAGTATCTATACTAGAGCAAATTAAGTGCTAGAGATTATTAAAGTTATTAACAACTTTAAAATTATATTAAAATTATATTATTTAGTAGCTAATAATGTATTAAATAATAATAATAAGACTATTTTTACTTTTACCTAACATCTTAATATGCCCCTTACCTCTAAGTACTATATACGCTGCGCTGGCTATATAATCTAGCTAGTAGTAAAAGCAGTTATCTATAGTAAAAAAATAAGTGCTTTTAAAGTAAAGCTTACTTAAGTAGCTTTTTAGAAATAATTTAACCTCTATTACTACTATAAAGTTATTAGAAAACTTTATAATTTTATAAACATAGTGCTAGCATTATATAAATAATAAAAGGCTTTTATAACTTTTTAAGCTACTTTTAATAACAACAACTCTTTCTAAAGCTTTAGGACGCTTAATTTTATATAAGACAGTAGTGTACACTAGCATAGTATTTATCTTATGCTTTTTTACTGTTTTAAGCTTAAGGACACTATTACTAAGTTTATACATAAGTAAAGAAGCACTAATAATAACTTTATAAACTTTACTATCTTTAGTAACTTTACTCTTACTAAGGTTATTACTAAGAATAAATAAAAAAAAGTTAATTACTTTTATAAGTTTTTTAAAGTTTTTTACTTTATAATAAAACGCTTTAAGAGTAATAGCTTCTATAGCTCTTTTTAGATGTCTATTATTAACCTACAACACCTTTATACTAAGCTTCTATGTATAGGCAATAAACTTAAAAGTAAGAGTAATAATTACTACCTTAAATCTAGTATAGCATTTAGCATAGAGAAGTTACTTACATACTAAAAAAAGTTTATTATTAAGCTACTTATATTTTATTACTATATAGTAATAATTTTAAACTCTTAACTTTATCTTATTTAGTTTAAAGACTACTAAAGAAAGCACTTTATATAGCATAAAAAAGCTAAGGCTTTAATAAAAGCTATTTTTTAAAAGTATATTAATGTAAAGGCTAAAGCTAAAGCTAATAATAATAACATTACTTAAAAGCCTACACAACATAAGTTACCTAGTAGTAACTATTATAATAAGAGCTTTAAAAGAACTTTTTTTGTTAACATAAGCCTCCTTACTAGCAGCTGCTTATATAAAAAGTAGTAGAAAATAACAGAGTTGCAGCAGTACTATAATAGCTACTATAAAGACGTTACTATAGCTAATAATAACAGCCTTTTATTTACTAACCCTTTTACTTAGTAAAAACAAGTTAGACAACTTTTTTACTTTATACTATATAAAATTACTTTTAACTTCTTATCTATCTTTTTTATAAGCTATAATTATAAGAGGTTTTTTTTTAGAAGTAAAAAAACTATTACTTATAATAGAAATAAGCTTTCTAGCTTAATAATTAAGGCTTTTTAACTGTAAAAAAACTAGCTCTAGCAAGGTTATATTTATAGTAAAATAAGGGACTTAGTAGACTGTATACACTATAATGTCTTACAAGCTGTTAAAACATAGGAGGATTGTAAGCTGTAACAGTTACGCCCTATAAGTAGATTTAAATTCTCCCTTTACATTAAAACGTACTAACAAACTAAGAAGTTACAGCCTAAAAAACGGCGAGTTGAAACGTATTACGTACGGTTGGGAACGCTGAAAGAGCCTCCACAGTGCGTTGCAAGGCCACTTTCTCGGGGTTTGGCAGCTACCTCAGTGATACGTGCAATTGGGGTTGAGACTGGTTTTAACTTAGAGCGTATAGGGCTGGCAATAGAGAAGCTCACGATTCGATGAGAGTTAATATCCAGGGAACTGAGGAATTTTTCATTCCAGGAGATGCTGTTCTGATAATATTTGACTCGGGGTACCGATTCAGCCGGCTACGCAACCTGGACCGCCCCCGGAAATGGCCTGATCCGCTTTCATAATACATACTCATCCAAGTAACAGATCGAATGGAGTCTCATTCTGCTAGACTGGCAATTTGTCTTTAAATTCTCGCAAATGCTGCACAACTTCCCGCCAACGCGCATCCCATCACCGGAGTATCTTATTCCATCTTGAAAAGGTTCTATTTTGCCTACGTCATATCAAATACCCTGCCACTTTTGTCGGGTAGTAAATTAAAAGAGTGCCGCGCCGCTTACCGACACCTAGATTTTGGAGAACCCGAATTCCGATTTTGCTTCCCGCTTTTAAACATCTCCTCAAAAAGCCCCCACGAATCTCAGGCTTATATTTACTTGTCAGCGTTAAATTATTCTTTATTGCTCAGGAACTGTCTGCTGCTGCGAGATCGAAGCCCGGTAAAGGTTGATTGCGCTACCTTTTAATACGGTAGGATCCTGTGGTGCCTCGCAGGGAGAAAGAAACCGCAATTAGCTTTTTACAGCCATCGGGGAGATAATGGGAAGCAAACCGAATGGGGACCTAAGCGTAGTGTGACCAGCCAGCTGCCTTTATGGCTCACTACCTACGTACTACACTTCACCTCGACATCTCGACAATCTCTGCACAACACTTCATTGCCCTACTATCCATACATGTTCCCTCTTATCCACGCCAAAAAAAATGGACATTAAGTCCGCAGGAATATTCTAACCGATATATTCTGTCTTACGGGAGCTTTGCAGTCCTCTAACCCCCACCTTCACCAAATTTGCGACATGAAAATACCAGGATTCTTCATCTTGCCTTCCGACTTAGGGTTTTCCCCGCTTAATATATTTGGGCAAGTCCCGAATTTCCTGCCGGAGGCTGAATAGCATCAAAAACTCCTCAGTGTAAAGAGCAGTTATATCAAGACATTATGGGAGTTCGTGCGTAGTACCTAAGTCTGTGGGAATGAAGAGGTATATAGCTGGCCAGGAATTCGACAAGTAATTTTTGACCAAGAGTCTAACCTTTCGCCCAGATTTGGCTTCATATTTTTGCACGATACGGCCGCAGTCATGCATGCTTTTAATATACTCGTGGGAGCGTTGGCGGCTTTCTGCTCCGTTGTATCTGCTGGAAAAACACAAACAATATCGAACTGGGGAGACAATCCATCATCGCTTCCATCATTCCTTCTCTACACGCCAGATAAGATTGCCGATAAGCCAGCCATTATCCTTGGAGTGAGTACTAAGCAAAGTTTCCAGCATTCATTCCACTGAAACGAGAGACTAGCTTCATCCATGCGGCGGAACCGGATCGCAGTATCAGTCCATGACACCCCTTCCTTCATATGCAGACAAACTCGGCTTCGTTCTTCTGTTTCCGACCTCAAAATCCCAGTCTGGAATGAATTGCTGGGACGCACACTCTGCTAAATCTCTGAAGCACGACGGTGGCGGGGACTCCCAAGGTCTCGCATCGATGGTGAAATGGGCTTTGAAGGCCTACAATGGCGATCCGAGCAAAGTCTTCGTGGTCGGCGGCTCATCGGGCGCCATGGAATCTAACGTTCTCGCTGCCACCTATCCCGATGTCTTCGCCGGAGCGGCCTCGTACTCTGGTGTCCCAGCTGCATGCTGGTCCGGCTCTCCAATGTCCACCCCAGCATCCTCCGATCTGAGCTGCCCGTTGGGCAAGAAGGCATCTACATACACACAGCAACAGTGGGTCGATCTCGCAAAGGGCTGCTATCCCGGGTACAACGGGACATACCCCAAGATTATGATTGTACATGGAACAGAAGATACGGCCGTCACAATCAACAACTTAAAGGCGCAGCTGGATCAATGGAGCGGGGTCCTAGGTTTGAGCTTGGCGAGGAATTCATCGAATGACCCGATTAAGAATTGGAAGAAAATTACTTACGGAGATGGTACGAAGTTGGTAGGTTATGAGGTTCAGGGTGGGGGTCATATTCCGACGTTCCAAGGCGATGCTACGTTGAGGTTCTTTGGTTTGATGTAAGATGTAATGGATATTCGGAACTGGACCTCGGTAGCTTTGGCTGGTCTGGGAGAATAGTGCATCACTTCCGCATTATATTTTAGGGTGGACTTGCATTAGAGCTTTGATACTTGTTTCTCGTTTAAAGATCTAGCTTCCTTAAATTAGTGGTTAAAATCACGGAAACAGGATACTCAACCTAGTAGTAGCTGTCCGGGAACAGCACCTTCATGCACTGCCCACGGCCATTCACTTGTGCCCTATGTATGGCATTCCGAAACTCGATGTCTGTTGGGGGTTCTTAACCCAACCCCGCACGTAATCAATCGATTGGGTTAATCTTAAAAAGGAAGTTAATCAACGGAATTTACTCTCTTACAGCCAATGACAGGTTTTCCTTGCATAACATCCAATCCAAAACAACGATAAAAGCTGCAGGTCAGTTCGTGAGGGGAAATCGCACGGCGTTTCGCGGAGTCGAGTATCACAGTTTTGCTGCGAACTGATACTTGGCCTTTTCCTAGTCCCCGATAGACCGAGAGATACCACCCCTGTACCACCTAACACCTCCGTGCCTTGGACCAATGTCTTTGTCAAACGTCTCGTTCTTACCAATTTTAATCTTACATTCTCGTTGGGTCGATTGTCAAGTACAACTCTAGACATTGACCTTTTTCAGATAGGGTTGCTGCACTTGAGATGCGGACACAAAGGGGATTACCTCAACGTATCTTCTAATAACCTACCAAGGCACGTTGACGGACGCGCCGAGGATTTTATAAAGATATAGTAAGGGCTGTTAAGCATGAGGGTGGACTTCTTTCTTCAATCTGCAGTTTGATTTGTTTGATTTCCGCTGGAATTACCTTCCCTTCACCCAAATAAATACCCCCTAGCTTAGGGAATACTTCTGACCTACAATGAGCTCTTCCATTGCAACAACAGACCGTGCTATTTCACCAGGCTCGCTGGTTCTTGTCACTGGTGCGAATGGATTCATTGCAAGCCACATCTGCAAACAACTACTCGAGAACGGTTATAAGGTCCGCAGCCTATCCTCCTTTTCATCTTCCGTCTTCTCTTTCCAAAACACCGTTTCGCTAACCTCATTTCAGGTCCGGGCACAGTCCGCGACATCAATCGAACTTCATGGCCAGTCCCCTTCTTTAACTCCCGATATGGAGAAGGCTCAATTGAACTGATCTCTGTGCCGGACATGGCTGCCGACAGCGCCTTTGACAATGCTGTAAAAGGATGCGCAGGGGTAATCCACACCGCAACTCCCGTGATGCAAATACAAGACCCCAACGTCGCAATCCCTACAGTCATCAACGGGACCGTCAATGCACTAAGAGCCGCTGCCAGAGAGCCCAGTGTAAAGCGCGTAGTTCTCACATCCTCCTCCACCGCAGCTGCAAGCCCGCAACCAAACAAAATCTTCACCATCGACCCCTCCACTTGGAATGGGGAAGCGGTTAAAGCTGCCTGGGCGCCTCCACCCTACCTAGGCGTCCAACGAAAACTAGACGTCTATTACGCCTCGAAAACTCAAGGCGAGCAAGCTGCGTGGAAATTCATGGAGGACGAGAATCCAGACTTCGTGCTCAACTGCATTCTTCCGAATATGAATATCGGCGAGATTTTGTCCATCGAGCACCAAGGCTACCCGAGCACTATGTCCTGGATCAAAGCGCTTTGGGGAGGCTTTAACGGTGAGGGCGAGAAGGACTTGGAAGATAACCCACCGCAATACTATGTCAATGTTGATGATAATGCGGTGGTGCATGTTGCAGCCCTAGTTTTTGGGGATGTGAAGAGAGAGAGGTTGTTTACGTTTGCGGAACCCTATAGTTGGAATGATCTACTGGCAATTTTTAGGAGGCTCTATCCGGAGAGGGAGTTTATGGATGATATTGAAGGCCTGGGTGTGGATAAGAGTGTTGTAGCGAATGAAAGGGCACAAGAATTGTTGAAGAGATTGAAGGGGAGTGGGTGGGATTCTTTGGAAATAGTGTGAGGTTCTTGACTGATAAGCTGGCCGCAGAAGAGTGAGTTTGGGTAAGTGTTCGGATTCGACGGGTGGAAGGTAGCCGACCTACAGGTACTCACGTACGGTCGGTTGCAATATGTTACCGCTGAGCGTACTATATTAAATAGTCTATAACGTGTTTTATATGAGAGCGCCGCACTGAAGTGAGCGCCGCAGTACCTACGGCAGACGATAAGCGGGTGAGGGGACAAAACTCAACCAAGAATCGCCAAAACGCTAAAACCACTCCCGAAAAATTATCGCAGTCGCTTATTAAGCAGCGTATGTTAGCTATAGTAATAAATATTATGTTATATGATAGTAATATATAAATATAAGTAAAAGATGTCCTTAATTCTATCTTTAAAAGCCTATATAGACTATATTAGAAGAGTAGCAACTACATACAAAGAGGAAAAAACTACTCTATATAAAAATTGTTACGTTGCTAAAAGGTTAACCTTCTAGCTAGCACAGCAGAAGGATATATATAGGCGGATAATTATATGCAAAACACCCTATAGCTTAAATAGTAGAACAAGAGAGAAAACAGATCTAAATATAAGATAGCCTCTACAACACACTCTTCTAGCCTAAGCAGTATAGATGTAAGAGACATATTTAATAAGGTAGCCTTTATAATAGGCACACCGCCTACATGTTTCTTTACTAAGAATAGAAATTAAACACAGTGTGCTTAGAGATAATACATTTCTATTAGTAAAGTAAGAGTGTAAAAATTCTTACGCGCTAACTATTTACACTACGCTACGCAAACTATTACAATATCTCACCTAAGTCTGTCCTTTACAGGTGACCTAGTACTAGTAACGTAGAGTCTGTAAGGGGAAGGAGGAGAGAGAGGAGAAGTTTAGGGGAAGGGTACTTCTCTAAAGTTAACAGGGTGCGAAGAGTGTACAGTCCTTTGTGCAATCTAGGTAGAAAGCAGGGCGAGAAAGAGAGGTATAAGAGAGGAAGGGTTAAAGTAAGATAGACTAGGTAGCTTTAGTTCTCTGCAAGAGAATAAAGTACTTAGGCGCGCTTTAAGTTAAAAGGAATATTAGATATATTACTATATCTAAAGCTGTGCCTTAATAATAAGAATAACTACAGCCCTCTACTAGCTAGTAGAAGGCTTTAACTATATACTAGCCTAAAATTGTTATAATTATAGGTTTTTACTATAATTACTATCTAAAAAAGCAAGTACAGCGATTACATGCTGGATAATAGAAGAAATTATGTCGAGATGCAACCACTTACGGAGAGCACTATTGAAGCTGTTCGGAGAGTGCATTGGCATGCGAATGGACACTAACTTTCCCCTACCTACATACCCTCATGAAGTACCTGTCCAAAGTTTGTGGCTGTGTCTGTCAAGCACAGTGTCATCTTTCCGACCCCCGCCACTCCTTGATATGTCCACCATGCGACGTCTGTTCTTCCAATTCACAGACCCCTCCAGCCTGTAGTTCACTGATCTCTCCATGTGGTGGTTGCACAGGCGGTTTCGACTGTCGATAAGGCTGATAGCTTTGGCTTACAACGGGCCAAGGTCCTTGTGGTGCCCGACATAGCGCCGTTATGATACATTGGCTGCCCCGATGCCTGAGTTATCTGTGACTGTGGCCGTTGATGGTACCGCTTGGCAGCGAGCCACCAACAACCGAGTAAGATGCCTAGAGCAACTGCGCCGCCGATGGCAATGCCGACAATGGCACCTGTGGAGAGACGATGGTGATGAGGTGAGGATGAATTGGTCGGTTTGGCGCTACTAGTTGGTTGACATGACTGGGTACACGAGATCGAACGAGTAGCTGTCCTGTTCTAGAACTTTGGCTTTTGTGCTAAGAGAGCTGCGAGGCCAGTCCCTGTGTTGTTTCCCGTATCGTATCCATTTTTCGGAGTGAGCAGTGTAGCACCACCATTCTTGTCACCTCCAACAAGCCGGTATACATCAATAGGTACAACATTCGTGCTAACGTTTGGATTGTAGAGAGCCCAGTATCTGTCTTCGGGAGGTTCGCCAGTGTTGTTCACACCGCCGGTCCAGATGTTATGCTGAGCCCATATATCTTGGGCGAGATCACACATATCAGAGCCAGGGTAAGTACCGCCAATGACCATCATCTGAGAGCGGGACATTACCATATTGCAGGAGGCGGAATAGTGGCCGTAGTCGTAGGTGGCATTGCCTTGATGACCGGGGAATATTTTGACCCATTGGAATGTAGGCAAAGTCAGAAGGTAGACGTCGTTGAACGCGGTCATGTTTGAGTTGGGTGAAAGACTCAGACCTCCCCATAGGTAGCTTTCTATTTCAGCCTCAAGAGTGCAAATATATGCTAGGACTTGGCTTACATATTGTAGCTTGATCTATCCGGTGCCCATGCGATATCCATGCAAAACCGGGCCCGGTCCCCAGGTATGACTCCTGTTGCAGTCTGAGTGTACCAAGCATTCGTCTGAGGGTCATATACGAGTATCTTGTCCATCGGTTGAGCAGATTTCGTCCCGTTATCGCCGGCTGGGATCCACGACATTCCGCCTTCTGCTCTTCCGAGCCCGTCCGGCGAGTTCACCGCGGTGAGTTTGTTCGCATCGTAGTCGTATCTGTACATGTTCGAGCTCATCACGGGAGCTTGCGTCCATCCGCGCATGGAAATATTGCTAATCCAACCTCCGTAGTAGTATCCTTGACCAAGCTCGGAAATGCTCACACCAGCACCATACGAAGAAATGTTTGGCGCAATCGGCGTCGTAGGTGGACCTAGATCGGACCATGAGTTGTACAGGGTGTCGTAGCTGAAAAGGTGATAGGTCTGCGCCAGCCCTTGCGTGACTTCACCACCATAGACGACGAATTTCTTGTTGACGTCATCGCCCCAGAGGGTCCCACCTGCAACTGTTGGAACGACTCGTGGGTCTTTGCTCAAGCTGATGTTGAGCTGTGGCCATCCTGCGTCGGCCGTACCCGTGGTTAGGTTGTGGAGATCGTGGAAACCGAGCCACGTATCTGAGAATTCGCATTAATCGACTTTTGGTCATATCTCCACACGAATAGTCCTGGGTACTTACTAGGTACATTCAAATGATCTTAGGAGAACGAATCGAAGTTGACGTAGCCGCCATCGATGTACCGCTTGTCGTCGATGACAGTCGTTTGGTGAGCATACCTCCGGCAGAAGTTGCCCTTCGGATTTTGAATGGCACCGACCAAGTGACTTGCAAGGAATAGCAAAAGTACTACTGTATTCTTTCTATTTCCTCGAGCGGCGGGGAAGTCGGCCGAGTTCGGCATTGACTGTACTGTCGCAAAGAACTCCATTGCCGCGGATTCCCTTTACATGGATTCAACAGGGTATTTGGGCATGCATGTAGAACATCGATCGTTATGAGTTGGACCGCGGAATTGGATTGTAACAAAAGGCAATCTCGGATAGCAAGCAGTCAGAATATGAACCTCGCAGGGAAACTTGAGCCTTGTGTCTCATAGAACTACATCCTACTGCCACCTGCCCTGCGCATCCGCTGTCAATACAGGATCCAGTGAGCCACCAGCCCGAAGGGCATCACACGAGCGAGTGGCACCGCAAGATTCCAAGACACAGAAGAAGCCTTCGCTTAACGTAGCCAGTGAATGCTAAGAGTACAACGCGAGCTGAAAGAGCTCAACGGTGTACTTGCTTTTGTATCACCTTGGACTTGAGCCAAGACTGTTGAAGTTACCTTTTCGCCATTTGAAGGCGTTCTCAAACTTGTAAGAACGCTTGTTGCAGAAGCCGTCGGTAAACACTTCCAGTTGGGGTGAAAACGTTTCCTTAACTGCAAGTCCTGGCGGAGACGTGTGCGGTTTTCACATTGGTATTTCAAGCCACGACAAAGGAAGTAACCGGACTTTGGAAAAATCTGTTCGTAGAATAGCAACCGTATGCGATGGCGTGCTCTAAACTCGTAACGACAGTCTGTTGGGTTGAGCCATAGTATGAGCATGACTACATAGATGGATGCCTACATTTGGAACGCAAGAAGACGCAGCCGAAAGGAACAGCGCTTTCAGAGCGAGAACGCAGAGCTTTTGAAAGACTTGAGCCTCAAGAGAATGTATACCATAGTCATGAGTGATGTTCTTCAAGACTTAAGCGAGTACAATGTTCAAACGGTGCCGCTAATGGGACATCGCAAGCTGAAAATACGTATAATCTAGATGAGAGTGCAGTTGTGCGCCAGCATCTGACAGTCCTCAAAGGAATCTCCAATTCTTGCCCCCCGCTTCTCTATTCTTACCAGAATTATTAAACTTATCAAAATACTGCACCAGGGAAGGTCGCACGATCGCTCGTGCTTTACTAAGTAAATCAACCCGATAAGAATAACTTACCTATACAGTGCCTTACCTTAGTGCTTCATGGTCAATGCCTGCACATATTCGGCGCGAAGTTCATCAGCTACCACAACCGGATGCGCATAACACGACGCCTTGCCTCTACTCGTTCGCTACCCCATTTCCGTCCTAGCAAAGTACTTCAAGGGCAATTGAATGCATAGCTCATCATAATAAATACCATCAAAATACAGTCATGCATTCTCATTCAACGTGCATCCTGTCACAAAAGCTCCGCTCCCTCTTGATATGCCACATCCCCCCTAGAGCATATTACAAGATCGGAGAAAGTATCAGAAACGTCGAAACAGCCACTGAACAACTACAAAACACGGACAATCAGATATACCTTCATGTGAATCCATATGTCATTTATACGTCAATGTTGTGAGATTCTAAAGGAAGCGCGCTAGGAAAAACTTCTAACAGCGGATCTCGGCACTCTGGGGCGGTGCGATGGTAGCTGTGCGTTGGACTGCATCTCGAAGTGTGTGGGCTCGCTGTGTCAAAGCTGGTTTCGACGCTAATTGTCGTGTGCGAAATTCTCTGGATTCTTGGCAATGCTAAGTAACAACTTTCCCCTCATAAATCTCATAGAAATGCAGGTCACTGCACATATCGCTCTATATAATCAACTATAACGCTTTCTACTGTAGGTGAAGCTTTTTAAATGTATAGATAGGGCCTATCCTACTAATTTAACAGAGTTTTAGATTATAGATCTAACTGTAGGCCTCTTATAGGCCCCCTAGGGGACGTGTTTTATAAAAGCGCGCATTCTTAATCTAGAAGCCTTGCTACTAGCCTCCTCCTACTTAAAGCACAGCTAGAAAACTGCTTATAGTTATTTTATTATGTATTATCTTCTTATGCTTAGCGTCTTTATTCTAGAGGTTATTACTTGCTTACGCGCTAGCTATAGTACTGTCTATGCAATCTATTAAAACCTTATAAAGTATAGTACTATTACAGCTTTGCAGGTGCAGCAGTTAGGGCGTCCTCTAAGACTTACTCTAGCTAATAGAGAGGCTTTGTTTAATAAGCTTATTACACAAAGCTAAATGTACTAAGATAAGATAAAGTAGTAGTTATTTATAAAGTATAAAGTGCTTATTAATTAATTAAATATTTTTAAGATGTTAAAAAAAAAGCTAGAATAAAAAAGTAATTAAACTACTATTAGTTAAATATAGTAAGAATCTTTATAATAACTATTACTATATTATAATAAACTATACTGCAGATTAATTAGTCTTTATTAATAAGTTAAATTTTAATAAAATAATAGGCTAAAGGCGCTGCGCATATAGCCTAATTAGTAACAATAATTAATACGCTAGGGATAAGGACTGCAGGCGCGCATAGTTAGTTCTACTAGCGTACACCCTCCTTTATAGATACCTTAATTATATAGTGTTTTAGTAGGGATACTTTAATACTAAGCTTTTTATTAATTAGATAAAGAACTAGCTTTTATTAACTATTAATAATTAGTTTAAAAGGCGTGTAATGTGTGTTATTTTAGATAACTACTTTGCTTACTATAATAAGAGGATACTAGACACTATCTAAAAAGAAGGGCATATAGTATAGTTTCTACTACTACACTTACCTAACTATAATTTAATTAAGCTAACTTTCTTAGTGCTAAAAGCTTAAGTATAATATTACTACTACTATTACTAATATAAGTTTAATGTATTTAGAGACTTCCTAAGATTTGCTGTTAGTAAAAGTTACTATAATTAATTTACTACTAAGCACTTTTAGCACACTAGTAGAGAAGGACTATACATTAAGAATAAAGTATTTAATAGAGCAAACATGTAAATAAAAGCGTATAAGAGAGGTAAGGTTAATAAGTAGTAGCCACAGTAGCAGTCTAATTTTATAGTACTATTATACACTAAAACTACAATAACAAGCTGCTCTATTATTACATACTATCTACTATATAAATTTAGGATCTATTATTTAAACTAACTAATGTTACTTTTTAGAAATCTTTTTTTACTAATCTACAGATTAACAAGAGCTTCTGCTGCTAGTGTAGCCTTTTTTTAATAGTGCTCTAGTTTAAACTTACCTAAATAGTGTCTAAAACTACACATAATCTTATTAGGCAGATAATAATCTACTATTACTAGTTTATATAGTTTAGACACTAAATCTTCTATGCCTTTAAGGTTATCTAAAGTTTAGAAGTTTATAGTTATAATTTTTTATATATATTTAAACTAAAGCCTCTAAGCTTTAGTTTTCTGCTGCTTAATTATCTAATTAAAGAACTTCTTTACTAGATTATATTTATCTTATAGAGCTTAATTTTTTAGTAGGCAATTAATTAACAGCAGCGTTTGCATAAAAGGCGCTAGGCAGAGGATTGTACAGTAGGGGCAGAGGCAGGTTAACAAGAGGAGCTGCTAGAGCTGCTAGAGCTGCAGTAACTGCAGTAATTAGTAAAGCAAGAGGCAGATAGCTAGAGACCTAGTCATAGTTAGAATTTAGGTATAGATCAGGCTAGCGCTAATTAGCTGCTAGCTTTTTATTAAACTTTAGTTTCTTAAGCTTTTTATAATAACACTACTTTTTTTTTCTTATTAAAGCGCTGCTTTTTATTTTTAATTTTTTTTTACATGTGCTTAAGTTTATTTTTTATTATTATATTTTAATACATTTTTTATGCCTTTTTTATATAATTAGCTATAGAGTTTACCTGCGCGCTATAGCGCTAGGCTAGTGTCTAATAACTAGGCGTTAGGCCCTTTTAATTAATTACACCTTTACTATATAAGTAGTTCTTTTATTACTCTAGAAGCACTGTAACTAAAACACTAGTGTTACTCTTTTTTAAAGTAAAGGCCTAAATATTAAAGTTAGTTTACTTAACTTTAAAGTAAAAGCTAGGCTATTTTACTGCATTATAATAGTAGAAGTTACTAACATTTAGGTAGCTAGAATTCTAGCACCTCTAGGTTTAAATAAACGTGTTTATAAACTTGCTACACATTTAATAACTTTAAAGTTATTAAATTAAATTTATATTACATAGTATTATACTACATAACTTTTAGCTATTATCTATAGAAGCAGCTAGTGCTAGAGAACTATTAAAAGTAGTAGTAACCTTAACTATTATATTAGAAGTTTTAGCCTTCTTTTTTATCTACTATAGCTGCCTAAGCTTAGTAAGGGCCTTATATTTAGTTCTTACTTTAAAAGTAAGCTAGACTATGTTTTTTACACCCCTGCTCTACTAATAGGATTGCATTATTCTAGAGCACTGCGTGTTTAATTCCTACGCTTAGCAAAGAGCATTTAGGCAGTGCGCCTATTACAAAGGCTACCTTGTATTTAGATCTGTCTCTAAGTTCTGTTGCTTAGGCTAGGGAGGGTGTGTTAAGGTTGTTTCACTATGTTTTACCTCTCTTGTTCCACAGTTTAAGCTGGGGGGTGTGTCGCGTACAGCTATCCGTCTATATATATCTTTCTGCTGTGCTAGCTAGGAGGTTAACCTTTTAGCAAATGCAACAGTTATAAGCCTAGTTCACAGCGTAGTGTAGATAGTTAGCGCTTAAAAATTTACGCACCCCTGCTCCACTAATAGAATCGCATTATCCTAGAGCACTGCGTGTTTAATTCCCACGCTTAGCAAAGAGCATTTAGGCAGTGCACCTATTACAGAGGCTACCTTGTATTTAGATCTGTCTCTAAGTTCTGTTGCTTAGGCTAGGGAGGGTGTGTTAAGGTTGTTTCACCATGTTTCACCTCTCTTGTTCCACAGTTTAAGCTGGGGGGTGTGTCGCGTACAGCTATCCGTCTATATATATCCTTCTGCTGTGCTAGCTGGGAGGTTAACCTTTTAGCAAACGCAACAGAAAATA